ACATGAGATTTGGAAAGATGAGGATTGTTGCTTTAATGATTTACCTTGAGGCCAGCGTTAAACTATATTCCATGCACCCATCTAGTATCTCATGATCAATTGGTTCTTTGCACGGACCTCAGCTACCATGTCTTTAGCACAGTAACAGCCTATTTGTTACTGATTTTGAAGAGGAGTAATGTAGCATCACTGCCTGTTTCTAAAAGTAAGTATTGTAGACGCCAGTCTTTTCTGCAGAGATAATATGAATCTGCTATCATTGATCTTGTTAGATTACTTAACCAGAAAAAAATCGAAATGAGCAATATGTGGAGGGGTAAACTTGCAAAACTGGCAGTGCTTGCTATTGCAGTCTTGCTGAGTGCAAGTGCTCTGATGCACCCTGTCTGCAGGGACAGGTTTGTGCACCACCAAAAAGAAGCATTGAACTCTCAATGTTTATACATGCTAGCAAATATTATAACACTGTATTGTGTGTCCAGTGTAAAAACTGCATGGCAGCTTGCCTAGATATATCTTTATCTGAATCGTATGTCTGTAAGGGAAATGAAATCCTGCACCTCCAGGTCCAAGAATAAATCCAAGCAAGAATTAAAGAGAATGAAAGAATCAGTGATGTTAGTTGTCAGCAGTAATAAGCTCTGTACTTTTTTAGAGGCCAGTCATTTGGTAATGCTTTAGTCACAAGTACGTGATTTCTTCTGAGCCAAGGCCAGCTGCATATTGTACTGTTGATTTTCCAGCAGGTGTGGAACATCTTCTTGGCCCTTCTTCCACCTCATAGAAAAGGCAGGCATTGGTTGTTCAGTGGTCTTTACACACAGAATCACAGAATCACCCGGGTTGGAAGGGACCCCAAGGATCATGTAGTTCCAACCCCCCTGCCTAGCAGGGCCACCAAACATACACATTCAGATCAGGTTGCCCAGGACCCCGTCCAACCTGGCCTTAAACACGTCCAAGGACGGGGCATCCACAACCTCCCTGGGCAGCCCGTTCCAGGGCCTAACCACTCTCCTAGTAAAGAACTTCCCCCTAACATCCAACCTAAATCTTCCCTCCCTCAACTTGGATCCATTTCCCCTAGTCCTGCTGTTATCAGCCCTTTTGAAGAGTTTACTCCCCTCCTGGGTGTAGGTTCCCTTCAGGTATTGATAGGCTGCAATGAGGTCACCCCGCAGCCTTCTCTTCTCCGGGCTGAACAAGCCCAACTCCCTCAGCCTGTCCTCATAGGGGAGGTGCTCCAGCCCCCTGATCATCTTAGTCGCCCTCCTCTGGACCCTTTCCAAAATCTCAATGTCTTTCTTGTACTGAGGGCTCCACACCTGGACACAGTACTCCAGATGGGGCCTCACAAGAGCCGAGTAGAGAGGGACAATCACCTCCCTGTCCCTGCTGGCCACCCCTCTCCTGATGGAGCCCAGGATCCCATTTGCCTTTCGAGCTGCCAGAGCGCACTGCTGGCTCATGTTCAGTCTCTCGTCCATCAGGACCCCCAGGTCCTTCTCTGCCGAGCTGCTCTCAAGGACCACTCCTCCCAGCCTGTACAGGTGCCTGGGGTTCTTCCGGCCCAAATGCAAAACCTTGCACTTTGCCGTGTTGAACCTCATCAGGTTCACCCGAGCCCAGCCCTCCAGCCTGTCGAGGTCCCTCTGAATGGCATCCCTTCCTTGCACCGTATCAACCGCACCACTCAGCTTGGTGTCGTCAGCAAACTTGCTGAGGGTGCACTCAATTCCCTCATCGATGTCATTAATAAAGATGTTAAAGAGCACCGGTCCCAAGACAGACCCTTGGGGGGCACCACTTGTTACCGGCCTAACCGGTCTTTCTGAGTTGCTCTGCACTGGGGCTGGGCTGTGCAGCTAGGCAGGGGAACAAAAAGTTTGCAAGAAGAATCTAACAGTGCATATGGGAAGGGATGAGATTTTCTAAAGATATCACAATTATATTGCACTGTGTTGGACTGAAAGAGTGCTGGAGGATATCTGGCAGTTCATCCACTTACAGCAGCAAATTCAAGGTATAGTTCTGCCTTGAGCTGTTCATTCTTACACCTACAAAATCCCCTGGCACTTTCCTGCCTGCAGTTTGCTCTCCTACCAGGTACAGAAGCAGATAGGTACGTGCCCCCAGGCTTCACCAGATGTTTGCGCATTATAGAGCCTCGTGGTTGGTCCCCTTTGAGGATGGCATGTGTAGATTGAGGAATACTGTGCTGTCCTGGTGTTTGAAGAACTTGCATAATATTTAGACTTGTATGTGGAAATACGCTTTTTGACTGGGAATGGCACAAAGAGCCTTTGTGGCAATGCAGTGCAATTGTTTGCATGGTTTAGTGCTGATAATGTATGTAATGTGTGTGTATAAGCCACCAGAAACATGCTTTGTGTAAACCACTTTCTTGAATTTTGTGCCTTTTGTCTGTTTTGTAAACCAGTCTGACTCATTATTTCTCTACTTATTAACAATTTTTTCACTGTTTTTAGTTGTGTTTTTTGTTTTTGTTTTTTGTTTTTTTTGTGTGTGTGTGTCTGCTCAACTGAGTTGTTGTTTTTGTTCCATATCTCAGTTGGATGTTAGGGGGAAGTTCTTTACTAGGAGAGTGGTTAGGCCCTGGAACGGGCTGCCCAGGGAGGTTGTGGATGCCCCGTCCTTGGACGTGTTCAAGGCCAGGTTGGACGGGGTCCTGGGCAACCTGATCTGAATGTGTATGTTTGGCGGCCCTGCTAGGCAGGGGGGTTGGAACTACATGATCCTTGAGGTCCCTTCCAACCCGGGTGATTCTGGGATTCTGTGATATCAGTTGATGTCAATTGATACCAATGATATACACTAATACCAGTAATGTGCCTAAAAGCTCCACAGAATGTGAATCTGTTTGCTTTTTGTTTGTACATCTATCTCTTTCATTGTTACCCTGGGTCAGATCCAAGTTCAGTGAAGCTTGTGTGGTGTATCCCTTCCGGGTAATTTCACAGTTTAATGTGTGTCCTCTCAAGAAAACCCTTGAGACGTGGAGGAGGATGTTTATTGTGGAAGCAGGGAATTGTGACAATCCTCTGTACAAGAGCTTCTCAGTATTAATATTGACACTTTTTATTATCATGACCTCTTTCTAGTGCTTAGGAAATGCAGTAAGCCACACGTTTTTGAAATTGTATATACTATATACACTAGTGTTCACTAAATATATCCTACTGCGTAGCTCACACTGTCATTCCCATCATAAATGTGTTGATCCTTGTTGCTGTTTGAAATAACAATCTTAAATAAGCATTATATTTTCTGAGGAAATGATAGAGCGTGTTCTATTCTTGCCAATATTTTGAAGGGCTTTATTTTTGTTTGTAGGTATTATCTCTCAAATAGTTTTCAAGTCAGTTTGTATTGCCGGTACTAGAGTAAGCCATGTATTTGTGAATGCTTGTGTCTGTATATTTGTGTCAATAACTTAAAAAAAAAAATAAATAAAATAAAAAAACATTCAATATGTTGATGTGGGAAACAGGGAACTCTTTGCTGCTTGCCCTTAGAGCATGTCTGTTTTATTGCATGCTCAGGTCTGGCAAGTTATTGCAAATCCAACTAAACTCAAACCAGAATCTTTCTGCCAGGGAGAAAGGCTGTGTTGTGCTGCAGAGCTGCTTCCCTGTCAAAATCAATATACAGATTTATTTCTCCCTAAATGGTTGTTTATAAAAGTAATCACAGAAATAGAATCTCAAAATGTTTAATTATGTCATTTTGTATCTGCTCAATATATTCTGAATGTATTTACACATGTTTAGCAAGTGATGCAAAATACAAAGGTTTGAATTTTTTTTTCCTTGTATGTTTTAGTAACTGAGATAAATTCAAAATGGTATGTATTAATGTTGGAGAGAAAAAGAAGATGGTCAGTAGGAAGAGAAACGTGTGTGAACTAGCTAGACCAGGAGGAATGTTTTGCAAAATTGCTACTGCCCCAAATCCTCACAAGATACCAAAAAGGCTAATGTATATATTTTTAATTAAAAAATAGAATAGTATTCTCTTGCATTAACAGAAATTTCTACTTTTCCATGATCTTGTGTCACCATTTGAAAGTCATAGTTCTTCCATGAATAATTACTTCATGTAAGTGTTGGAAAGAAATGACCAGTTTCTAATAGCTGTGTAAAAACTTAGTTGTCTTTAATTGGAGTTGGTGATTTGGAAGATATCCTGTCAGCTATCTCTGTTTCCCAGCAGGGAGATGTGCGGGTGTTCTTAAGCATACAAAGTTTTACTCTTTGAGCTGTGAATATTGGAGGTCACCTAAAAATAAGTCATTACTGTGGATTTCATATTTCTGAAATTTCATGTTTTTAAGTCAGAATCAACAAGCAGATTCCAGAAAGTAGCATTAGCATTTACATATTGATATTTTTCCTCAAATGAATATCCCCAGGGTAGCTGACACTGATTCTACACCCTGCTAAAGCTATTGCACAGAAGTGCTATTTTTGGTTTTCTGCTCTTTATAATGTTATATTCTCTCTTCTTCATCTGGAAATCAGAAAAAGCAAACCAAAAGTCTTTGTTTCTCTAGAATAGGAACCTAAAATACAAAATTCAATGTTAGCCTTAATCTGTGCATTACAAATTTCGTTTTGAAATTTGGTCCTGTTTGCTTTTTATCCACAGCATGGCTGAATCTCAGTCTTGGACCTCAGAACTGTGGCAAATGAGAGCTTATGATCTGAGACATCCCAAATGTCTTTTTAATTAGTTTTTATTACACAGCTCATAGCTTTTCCAGTGTGCAACCACGTTGATTTCATCACGTCTTTAGTCTTTCATGGTTGCTCTGGTGCTGTGTAGCTGTCTTCCTTTCTAGTAAGTGGACCAGCTTTGATGCTTTGTTTCCACATCCTCCAAGTGATGTATACAAGGCTGCCATACTTCTGCCTTTTTTTTTTTCTTTCCCCATTTTTTTTTAAATTGCTTTTTTTCATATTATTTTTTCTTTCTTTCAGCCTCCACTGGAACTTTGCAGTCTGCCATTCAAAGCCTGAACAAGAGCTCGACACTGTGCTTTTTCAGGTATGCTTCTTTAAATACACTTTCTCATGGAGGGGAGGGGTGTTAATGGAAGGAGAGCATCTCCAGAGGATCTTTTCCTCGTTCTCATAGCGAATCTTTTTTTTTTTTTTTTTTTTTTTTAATCCTTTCTAATTGATTGGGTTGGGAGATTCATTTGTACAGTTTAAGAAAGATTGAGGCTTGCTTTTGCTGCCCTCGGTCACACTGCATTACGCATGTCAACATGGCAAAATAATTTGAGTAGTTCCTGGTGTTTTTTCCTTCTTTATTCCAGACGTACACTTCGGTTACAGTCTTCCAATTCAGTAGATGCTGATATTTTCTGACTTCCAGCATGAGTGCACAATTCTAACCCTATCTGATTATTATTACTGATGTGCTCAAAAACAGAGGGAAGCTTAAACATCCAAGAGTCCATTCACAGTGCTCTGAGCCTGATTTCAAAGTTGGAGCAGGAGATGGACTTTAAAGCTTAGAATCTTTTACTTGTCTTTAGAGCTTCTGAGCAAAAGAAAGGAAATCCAGTATCAAGAAAAATTGAGAGCGTGTCTTATATTGAGTAGTTTTGTTCTCAGTTAGTACAAAGAAATCACTTGAAACCCAGGGAATCGGAAGTTGTATGAGTATGGCAGTTTGTACCAGTGATCATAAAATTCTCTAAGAGTTACTAAAGCACTTGCAGCATTTATTTGAAGCAAGGAAAAAATCGATAATCAATATCTGATGCATCATTTGTCAAATCAGCAACATGCTTCACTAATACATGGTTTTAATTCCACTCTAGAAGGCATTTTGCATTTGTCTGTTTCTTATCACCAGATTCAGCTTTAGAATGTAAATATGCATTGTTTGGGGTCTTAAATTAACGGTTATCACTGCTCTTTTTATTTGAAACAAAAATATTAAGTCTAAGAGTACACGTGGCAAGTTCAGGGGTAAGATGTTGAAATAAACTCAAAACCAGTTTATGTTAGTTGAGGAGATTCAGGTATGTTCAAGATAGGTTGTGGTCTGAAATTGAAAGACATCAAAGCTGTACTGCAAAGTACAGCTAATTCCACAATCACATTTTATGTACTTACCTTGCTAGTGGCATTTCATATGGGATTTGTTTCCATCTTCTTAGAGAATAAACTTAATGTTTGGTGTTTGTGCAGATGCTCCAGGAAGTCTGCAGTTGTCTGGGAGACACACTGTGTATCCTACAAGTATGAAAGATGGAGTCCATGATTTATGATAATGGCAACATTCAGCCTTGGATGTAGTGACACAGTCAGCCCTCCTAAATGTTGTCTTTTTAGAGGATGTGTGGAGACCAGAGCCGATCAGAATCATAGAATGACTGAGGTGGAAGGCTCTGGAGGCCTTCTGGTTGCTCAGATCAGTGACAAGCTGGTGCTAGCAACTGAGGGGGTGTCCCCTTCATTGTAGAGGCTTGGCTCCCTGACAGCAATGGGGATGGTAGGCTGACCAGAAGAGGTTACCTTTACATGCCAAGCATGTGGGCACATGAAAGAGCCGACACCACATCTCCTCACCTGAGGCTCAGAGCTTTGTTTGTAGCATCTCATGATTCTTCTGTCTTACAGAGCTTGGTTTTGTGATTTTTGGAATTTCTCTAGATCCACTTTCTCAAAAAGTGCTCTAATACTCATTTCTAAATACGTAATAATTCATGAGGGTCAAGCCATAGCTTTGAGCTCAGGAGACTTGTATCCAATTTCTAGACTGGAATAAAATTTATTTTATTTACTGGTGAGAGGTGAGCTACTAACATTGCTGTGTATCGTGTATGAGAGGAGGATGGATATCTAGGTAGTGGTAAAATAATCTGGGGGGTATATGTGCAGAGAAATAAGCGAGTCTATTTAAACAGTCTAAGGCACTTCTTAGGAGAGGGTCAGCAGTGATCCTAGCTACAGAACTCTCCCAGGGCAAGCCTGTTGCAGGTATTGGTGCTGCAGCAGCTGATGGCATGTGAAGGGCAGCCAAAAGGAAGAACTGGCTTTGGAGAATCTACAGCAGCAAACCTCTGCGTTTTGTTCATAACTGGCAGGTGTTTTTGATTGACTGGGTTTCCTCCACTGTTTGTATTCCTCTTGAAAATGAGAGCCTCAAAGGCTGATTTCCTTCTGCAGACTTCTGCCAATCCCCTGGGGCCAGTTCCTCCTTGCCAGCCCACCAGGGCTCCATGGGCAAGCTGTCCAAAGCATGGAAGCTGCAGAAATGGGGAGAGGCATGTGGGGCGTAAGAGTTGTGATAGAGGCGATGAGGAAAAGCACTTGAAGTATCTTCCTTTTTCCTTTAATCCCATGCTATCCTTGAAATCTTTCTCTGCTTCCCAGCCCACTGTTTGCTGCCACCATCTCTATTCCCATCACTTCACTGCTTTTTTCCGAGTAACTGCATTTCTCCTCAGACCTTCTATGTCTTGCAGTTTGCCTGTCCCCATACTCCTAGTTACTGGTGGTTGTTTGTTTGTTGGTTTTTATTGGAGCTGTGATTCCTCCCTCTGCTGCTTCCATCTCCACTTGATTAAACGCACCAATGCAGTGGTCATGACTCAACGCAGCTTTTCTTTTCTTTAAGGCACTGGGATTTTTATGGTGTTGCTAAAGATGTGGCCAGGAAGAATTTTTGTCATAACTTCATTAGGGTCCTCGGATACACAGAAAGCCATTTAGTAAGAAGAATCTGAGCAATTCTGACTTTACAAGTGCAGCTTTTTAAAGACACTTGTAGTGAAGTGTCATTACGTTAAATGTCACTAATAGGAAACAGGCTCAATGTATTTTAACAGCTAACATTTCAACAACTGTAGTAAATACATCCACACAAATGTGCAATCCCAGTGAACATACAGCATAGAATTTGGGTTATACAGCTTTACTGTATTGATAGCAACAATACTGGTATTTCTGACCACATACTTCAAGAAATCTTAAATATACAGATGCAGTGGTATGCATTCCTCTAACTTTCTTTCTTGACTTCCAGCAGCATGTATCTTTAGAATGGAGGCTGGAGGAAAGAGGAATGAAATATTCTGTGGTATGGGAAAATGTTCTCTTATCTAGAGAAAAACATAGCTGTACCAGTCTAAATTAAAAGAGATGATTAAAAAAAAAAAAAAGGGGGGGGGGGGGGAAACCACTTGATTTGTTTATACACCATCAAAAGATTTTAGCTTTGTAGCTTGTTTTGGAAAAAATAAATGTTCGCTGTTTCATGTGTTTGAAGTTTGACTGTTTATAAATGGTTAGCCCAGAACAATTCTGGTGCAGAAATTAAGTAGCCATGCAGACTTTACTGCAACATTATGTCATGTTATAGAAGAGGATATTTAGAGCAGAGACTTGACAAACAACACCCCACAGCTAATCAGAAGAATGACTGAAAGTCTTCCGTTGTCAGAATGGGGCCATGCTCTTGTATTCCACAAGGTGAACATTGCCATTTTTCTCATGTTATTGCTTTCAGCCATAACCAGTTTGTAATTGTGCCTACCTTATTACCTTTCTGTGTATTTGTAGTATCAGTAAAACATGTTCACTTGCTGTGTTTTAATATTAGAGTGAAACAGTTTTTTGTTTGTGAATGTAGTTTATTAAAAAAAAAAAAAAAGAATTTTCCATATAAGAAGATACCAGCAAGCTGTTAAACTTGAGAAGGCTAAAAACAGTGTAATCAATATAACTTTATGTCCTTATTTGTAAAAAATGTGCATTACAAGAACCACTCCGTATACTTACGCACTATTTCTTTCAAATGTACTTTCATAGACTGTAAGAAACTTCAGAAGGATGCTAGTTCTGAAACTTTGAGAATAAATGTTTTAAAAGCTTTCCTTACCAATTGAATCTCTGATTACTACAGGAAAGGAATTTTTAAATCTGAAATATTTTCTCCATTTATAGTAGCTTTTCATGGTCTCTTGTTTTTTTCACAGTATAAATTGTTGGGGTTGTTTCTCTTCCGGGCTGTATTTGTTGACTCTGGATCTTCGTGTGCTTTTACATTACTGGAGTTTTGCAGGCTTACGAAGTGCAAGGGAATGTCTAACTGCAGCTATTTTCATTGTGGGATTATGGCTTTTTAAATAAAAGCCGTTTATAGCTGTGATATGATCTTCCTTCAATATATTTTGCATTGCAAACAGTTTCAGAAAACATTCTCAATAAAACATAGTCTAAACATGGCAACTTCAGATTTCAGAGGGTTTGACCTTATATGACAGAGTCTGGTGAACTTTTTCCACCCCACAAAAATGAGTTGGCAGTAGCAGCTGCTGTCCGTTCGCATACATGAGATCAGAAGTACCTCATCCTCTGAGAAATGGGAGACTGCACCAATTGCCCAGCCTCCGAACTGGGGCAAGTTTCCACCTCCCAGAGAAGATAACTGGGTATTCTTGGGTGGCTCTTCCTGTTTCAACTAGAAGCCGTCCTACCTCCTAGAAATTAATTATGCTGGAGCAGTGTTAACTAACCTGGTTTTCACATCAAGAGCCCTATATGAGATTTCTTACTCTTCCTGTAATTTAAAGAAAGCTTGCAAATTTTAGTGGAAAATTTTTAAAAGAAGTGCTGGAGAAGAATCAGTCTTTACATGCAATTTAGAGGAGTTTAAGCACTTGCTGTGGAGGTCATCTTGCAGTTGGCATTCCAAATGAAGCAGAGGCAGAAGCGTTTTCTGTGATATCCTTGTTAGCCCCCACTGCATTTTGGGGGCCTGCAGCATGCTCAGAGGACTCATGCTGGGTTAAGCAGTGTTAATGAACAAAGACAGGCAGGAAAATCCATGGTTCATCTAGAGCTTGGGAATTGGCCATCAGGCTTAGTTAGCCATGTGCGTGCCCATTCATGTCAGTAACAGGACTGTTCCCATGCTGAGCGGCAGCTGTTTGCAGGACATGTCTTGAGCATCTCTCTACTCATGCCTGTTTCTTCTAGCTTCTCCCAGCTCCTTTCCATGGGAGTTAACTGTGGGAGATGGGGACG